GAAAGGTTGTCCGACCACCAGTACACACGATTAGGTCGTCGCGGCGATGGCCGAACTTTGACCATGGCGCAGTCTGAAATGTGCGCCAGGACCTCGCCAAGCCATTGTACTCCGTCGTCGACTCCTTTATCTTCTATTCTTTGGGACCACGTCCCTACAATGGCGGCGAGTTCTGCAGCCTCTCGGTCTAACGATCTTAAAGACCACATTTGTCCGATCTCCGGGGGGATGGTGATGTTTCTACTGGTCGGGGGTGCTGACGAGGGGAGAATGTCGAACCGGATGTAGCGATGGTCCGACAGCGTCTCCACCTCAGTCAGCACTTCCCAGTCCTGCACGCGGCATGCCAGGGCGGGACTCGCAAGGGTGACATCTACGACGGACCCGCCCTGCATGCGCACACAGGTGTGTACAGAGCCCGTGTTGAGTGGCGTCAGGTTATGTTGCGCCATCCACGCTAGCAGAACCTCGCCGCGGCTGTCAGAGACGGAGGATCCCCAGGCTCTCGACTTAGCGTTTAAGTCCCCAGCTACGACAACCTCGAGCGGTCTTCCCCAACGAACAAGGGAGCTGACTTCTTCCAAGTACGCCTCGAAGTCCGACAGCGACCGGTTGGGGGAAAAATAAACTCCAATCAATACTATGCCGGGAAATTTGGCCCCTACACAACATCTTCCTTTCTTCACCGAAGCAATTGGGGGGTGGCCGCCTGCGTATATCGCGACAAGATGTTCGAGATCCCCTACCCAATTGCTTCTGTCCGGAACCAGATACGGTTCGGACACCACCGCTAGATCTATTGACCACTGCGCCAGGCTTTGGATAAACAGATCCTGGGCTCTGGCGCAGTGATTAAGGTTTGTTTGAAGAAGTCTTAGGGCCATACTAATTTTGGACGACTTCCGCTATCTCCATTTCTTCCCCGCTCGGTGGGGGCGCGCTGCGTGCTACGTCCGTTAGCGCTCTCCTAGGGACCGTCCTTCTGGGCGCCGAGCATTTGAGACTCCCCAGCCGGTGTTTGGCATCCTTGCCCGCCGCCGTACACAAGATGCAATTCGGTTGCGA